CCTCCATAAAAGACAAGTATTTGAAATTAGCTATCCACAAAGTGCTTATCTTCATAGACAAGTAGATAGACTTGGCAAGATTTAGAAACGCCAATTTTAATTATTATATTATTTAATTATTTTATTCTTTAAGTACCTAGGTAAATTTCATTTAAATATTATAAAATTAGATCTTTGGGTCTTTGGTATTCGAAAATAAGATGATTGATGTAGATAGATAGCTAAACTTAAAAATTTATATACCTGCTGTCTGGTATTAATCAATTATGCGCATAATTGTACGTAACGGCAAATGTATTATTATTGTTATACTAGCTTAAATCTTTTCTTTTTTAACTCAAATTATTCACTTATGCTTACAATTTTGATAAATTTTCTTCCATATAAACCTTGTTAGAATTACGAACACATAAAAAAAAAGAAGTGCAGTTGTTCTTATGTGATGCGTTTACATTCGGCGGGGGGAAGGAATTGTTAGTTACGCGGACTACCAGTTCTATTGCTAACAATATACCCTGTTAGGTCGACCTCCCCGTAGTTCCCAATGGAGACAGTCATGCTGAATCCTATATGTATTCATCACGATGGGTGAACTGACTTGTCTTTTCATTCTCATCTATCATCCCTCACTGGTGAACCGCCAGCATATACCGTTAGCGCAGGCGGAATTACTATTCTATTATCATCCATTAAAAAAATACCATTCAGCAATTGATTTATATTTATACCTGTAAGATAGTGTTTATAACAATTTTGAAAAAAGAATAGTTTTATTTTGTCATCGTAAATAACAATCAGTGATGGAATTTATACGATCGTGTAAAACACGTGAATGAACGACATCGCGCAACGATTTCCATATGGTTAATTTACGGCATGTAAGGAAATTATCAATGCGTGTTTAAATGCCTATCAATTTCTAACTTTGGAATGTTAAAAGGGACCGCTACGCGGCTTCCTAAAGCGGCGAATCGTTCACACGAACCGGTGTTAACTAGTTAAATCCCGAATATTTGGACAAAAAGTCATTTTACAGTTATTCCGGGCCACATGTGGTGGCACAAACATTTGACACGCGCGATCTGGCGGGACTTGACAAATATCCACAAAAACATGTTGTTTATGAACCCACTTAGCATACTTGACATTGTTTTTCAACAAGAAAAAATATTGTTACTCGTCAATAAATATCAGTGTAAACATGAAATGAAAATATTTAACATTTACAAGGCCTTTATACAACTTTAGTATAGTCTTTAATATAAATTATTATAAAGAAGATATATTTGTTTCTTAAAACTTTATTTGTAATGGATAAACTAAAAAATCTACTTAAACCATTTTAAAAATTCTCTAACCTATAGAAAGTTACATTATCAGCGAGTTAACATAGGCTGAATTTAGTTTTAAAAAAAACCATACGAAGCCGGAGCGAACCACAAATTTTTTATAAGAAGACATCTGTGTGAAGGGTTAAAATTCCTTTCTCCTATCTAGATGGAGTGATGCCTATTTTTTTGTACAGTATAAAACTTACTAGAAACAAAAATTACAAGGAATTCAAGGAAAGGAAAATTCGTAATAGAATTGGAAAATATCATCCTTTAATGGAATAAAAACCATGCCCAGTAATGCATTATGATACGCGATATAGTGTTTATGGTGTTGATGGAGTAACTTATTAGTCGATATAGGTATATAGATAATTGATAAGAAATAACAAAAATAAACTTTTACAACTGAATTAAACAAAACGCTGCAGTTTTATTGGCTAATTCGCTAGAACTCATTTAGAACCTCTATTTATCTATCCATCTAGAACCATTACCAATTATATGCTATACTTAACTAGTTGCTTCTAAATACAGTAAAAACTGACAAATTTCCTAATTAATTCATTACTTCACCACAGAAATATAGTGCCTACTACGTTTACAAACACTCCGGTAGTCAAAGGTAAAAACGGTCGACGTTTTTCGTTCGGAAACCGGGTGCAACAAAAACTGAAACAAAGAGGAAGGTGAGCAAAAAGCGTGACGGACAAACTGACGAATCTCTTAACAGACATCTGTTGCTGAGGCGGTGTGGAGAATTGCGTGATTCCATGTGTTAGATTGGGGTAAAATTTTTGGAACACGATCAGCAATTTGAAAAAAAACGGAACACGATACAGGAAAACATCCATGAATTGATTTTTTTATTTTATTATTATAATAAACTAGACCGTGTCTTTACATAACAGACAAAATTTTCACATTTTTGTCTGTCTGCCTATCTATATGTTTGTTCCGACATGACACAAAAACTATTACCAAATTGAATGTGATTTTTACAGTTGTGTTCCTAAAAACACAACTTAAAATGCGGTGTATACTACTTCCAACCTCTACGCGTTTCGTACGCAGGTGAAAGCTAGTAAATAAATAATTGAATAAAATATTTTAGCATTGTATTTGTACTTATGACTAAATATTTTCTAAAGCTGCTTTCGTTAATTAGGATATTTGTCACGTCGCCACTCGTTTCTGAACGGATGCGCGCGCGATATTCAATTTGCAAACGTTTCGGCGTCCGCCATGATGGAGTATCGGCCATTTGTAACGGTTACTGAAGGTTATGCGTGTGATGAATAGAGGTTTTGTTGAAATCAATTTTATGGTAAAATTATAAGCGTGGTAGTAAATGTGGACGCATAATTTTTATTCATAAAAGATTTTGGCGTTACGCTATTTAGTTATGATTATTTCAATTAATAATGAACCACTTATCTTTTTGTTTTTATCATGTCTACATTTTTTCATAATCTTATTTAAATTACATAATATTAATGCAAAAAATCTTTAACATAATACAAAAATAGATACCCTCATACCTTACAGCCTAAATGGTCGCGTACAACGCGGTTTCAGAGATGTTTTCTCCCACGAACACTCAGGTTATGGAATGAGCTCTCTGCCGAGGTTTTCCCAAGAGTCTACAGCATGGGGTTCTTCAAAAGGGGGGTAAGGAGGTTTCTTCAGGGTCGGCAACGCGCACGTAATACCTCTGGTATTGCAGACGTTCATAGGCTAAGGTAACCGCTTACCATCAGGTGGGCCGTAAGCTTGTTTGCCACCTCAGTAGTATAGAAAAAAAAAGATAAAGAAAAAAATGGATGAACGTAATAGTATAATTACATAGTTTTATAGATTATTTATAGAAATTTATCCGTCTAAATTTGTCAATAGGTATATCTATATTTCATAGTTAACGGAGGAAATGTTTTTAATAAAAATAAAAAGAAGACGGGAAAGAATTTAAAGGAAAAATGGAATAATTGAAACAGTTGATATTTTATCAAACAACATTCCTAGAACATTTAAACTATGACCTAAAATTATTTATATTTAAACTCTATGTTCACCTCATTAGTGCTCAGTCAGGGATACAGAAAATTACTTAGGTATAAACCTATATATTAAAGTTCCAGATTAACCTGACACGATGTTATGTGAACAAATTAAGATAAATTGTATTTTATAAACTATGTTTTTTTTTATTTTATGTCTTATTACCTTTGAATTTTTACCATTGAATTTAAGATTGTTTTTATCTAATTTCGTGTTACTCATTGGCTAATATAAAATAACTCAATTTCTTGGAATTGAAGGCGCGCGAAAAGCGCGATGTCACGCTTTCCTAGTTTCTGAATGTGGGTCTAGACCGCTACCTAAACAGATTGAATGGTTTGAAAGTGGATTTGGATTACAATTCAGTTAACCACATTATGATTACTTGGTTTCCAGTCTACATCTAGATATAACACATCTCTAAGGCTCACTCACTAAGGCCTTTAAGTAATAATAAAATTATTTAAAAGAGCAACACGCAAGTTTCTTCCTCGTTCTTCTTGTGATGAGACAGCTTTCCGAACGAGCGGTAGATTAAAAAAAATGTAATGACTATTCAAAAGTGCTTCAATATAAGTTTATTTGAATAAATGATTTTCTATTCTATTCTATTCTATTCTTTGCCATCTTGGACTCTACTATGCTTCGCGTAATAAGGACATTTCGAGTGTTACAATCATAACGGAAACAGTCAAGTGGGCGAGTTCTAAACTGTAAACATTTAGCTTTTACGTTGATTCGCAAAGAGAGCACGAAAGCGGTAAAATAATGTCTCTGACTACCTCATTAGGGACTATAGTCGCATGCATATTTTTCACTCATACTGAAAGTCCGTAAGACCTCTGTGAGGAATCCACAGAATAAAAGACTATAATATTATATCAAGTATTGTCTATCACATAATACAAAAATATATGTATATAATTATAAAGTAAATAAACTATATGAGCAAATATTATGCTGTTAATAAATCTCTTACTATTTTGAAGTAGTAAATTGATTTGTATATTCCAGATATTATAATAATCCGGATTTTCATCTTGTGGATAAAGAAATATTTTATCGTTACCTTCATTTGACATAAAAGTTCAGCCACCATCAGCCGATTAAAATGTATTCATAAAATTGGACATTGTCATGACAATAAATTTAATTCCACACCTTTTACATATAACTTCACGCGCCTCTAATTGGACGTACTTATTAAAAAAAAAATGTCGCTCACGACATCCACTTACAAAGCATATAAGTTCTAAAAGTCGTCGTTGTATACGCAACAAACGTAGGTATTACAAAATTGTTAACGCTTTTTTCCTTTTATTTAAGCAGACACAGGCCACCTACTTTTAAAGTGAAATATCGTACGTAAAATTCGATGACATATTATTGCCATCAAAGTATATAATAAGGTGTTATGCCATTCATGCCGTCTGTCACGTTTCATCGATTCTCATGCATTACTCTTTCGATCAGCAACACCTCATGTATCAGTACGTAGACTTACTACAGAAATAAAGTCTAATGAAGAAGAAGATCATAAAAAAATAAGTCTTAGAAAATCAAACAATTATATAAAATCATAAATAACCAATAAACAGTCATAAATCTTACCTGTATAACTCTCATGGGCAGCCCTGTCTCCTTCGCCAGCTGTTCCCGTATATGCCTCGTGGGTTTCGGAGTCTGCGAGAATGCCGATTTCAATATCTCCAACTGCTTAGCTTTTATCGTAGTTCTTGGTCCCCTTCTTTTTGAGCCGCCGTTACCGTCGTCCGGTGATTTGTTCTCTGCTTGTGAATCTCTCGTCTCGGGGTCCCCGTCCAGTGAACCCTGCGTGTGGAAGAGGAACAACTGAATGCGACAATGTGAACGCTTCCTTGAGGAAGGACATGATATGGTCTAAATTTCAGTTTAAACAACCAGGATGACAATAAAATAAACAACTATTATTTGCAACTTTTTAACCCTTATGACGTACCTAAAGTTAATAGTCACAATACTCAGTAATTTCATTGCATGCTGAGGATACAAAGTTAAGATGAGGCTGAAGAAATCGCACCTTTGTTCTATCTTCCGCAAGATAATTAAAGGCAGCGATTATCTTATGAAACTGAAGGTACCTATATTTTTAACTGTTTATTCGATTGGTGGCAAGGAAACATATTTCCCATTGAACATAAACAGTTACTGTAGTCTATGAAGACATCCAACTTCAAAAATGTTATGTTTGTATTGAGAAACCTTATTAGTAAGAATTTCCCTTCTCTGAAGAGTCACAATCCTTACTTCTCTTACTAATGTTATAAATGAAAAAGTAAGTTTATTTGTTTGTTATCATAGATCACTTTAATAGCTTAATTAATCAACATGAAATTTGGTATGGATCTAGTAGACTCGTAGGCTACTTTTTATTCCAGTCACTCAACATATCCCGGACGCGTGGATGAAGTCGCGGGTATAATCTAATAATCTTGCTTGTAGCTAGATATAAAACCTCAGCAGGAAACTCATTTTACAAACTCAACTTTCGCGAGACGAAACTCCTGTGAAACCACATTGTAGGTATGAAAGAAAGAAAGAAATATTTATTTACTGCTGAATTTCACACATAATAACAAAAAAGATTAAACAGTAAACAAAAAGAAAAAAAAGCACTAAAATAGCGTCACTTAGCTATATGCCACGTTCTTTCGAAAAAGACGCTGATTTTCCGTGGCACCAATTTACATAATTTTAGAACGACACCATTAAAGATCATCTACTCCTATCATCACTCACTAGTATCCTGGTGCCAGTGGTTTGCACTATCGATATATATTTATATCAATATATGTATATATAATATCGATAGAGCAAATGAAATTACCGTTCTAATTTCATCCCATTAAAAAAAAAACTTTTCATTAGTTGGGCCGTTAGCTTGTTTGCCATTTCGAATTGCATAAAAAATTTACAATGCATACCAACCTGATCTTCCGAGTCTTCGTGTGGTTTGGTGTCGCCATTATGTGAGAGGTCTGAATGTAGGGCAGGATGCGACGCGTGCGCAGGACTGCTCGAGTTGTTCGCTGCTCTCGACTCATCTTCTTCCTCCTCGTCTGAGCCTGACCCCAGTAACGAGTCAGCTGTAAAAGAAGAAAAAATTGATGAATATACCTTACGCTCATTGACTAATGTATTTTTGTACCTGCTGAATAATAACTGAGGAACATTTATTATTTGTAGAGTTCGGTAGGTAATATCCGATATCTAGATAGAGTTCTTGTAGATATTGATGATCATTCATTGCAATATCGCCCATACCGATATATATACCGATATATTGCATTCCATAATATAATTAGTAGATAACATTTCAACTTCAATTATGGGCCCTGTTGGGCACAGCAAGTACGAGATAACAGATATATTCATTACGAGCGTGTTTTTCTTTATATTATATATTATATTGGATAACCGTTATCTAATATATCTGTTTTTGCTAGACATTACCCACTCTTATTATTTAGTATGATTATTGATACCTAAAATCCATTTAATCTAAAACAAAAATTTATACAAAAACCAAAACATACTTGTGTCTATATTTAGGTACCTATTATATGTTTCATAAATACTTCCCAAAATTATAATTACAAAAGATTATAACCAAAATCCCCAATCCAAAAATAAATAAAATATAATAAAAGAAACGGCCATGTGGTCCCAGCATAGAATAGGCCACCCCTTCCTTTCCCGTAGGTGTTGTAAGAGCCGACTAAGGGAGGGCGAGGGATAGGCAGCAGCGTCCATTTTAAAACATCTCTAAAGCCTGACTGCGGTTGTTAATCCGTTTACTAAACATGGCAACTGCTCGCATTCCCGCGATGTCGAGATTTATCGGTAATCAGTATGCGTTTATATAGGTATAAACATTATATTGTATCAGAGTATACGAGCATATAAGAAAGACATTTCATTTCATTGTATTATACACCAATAACCCTTTAAAATAGACTAAAAATTGACTTATCAAAAAGCAATCGTCGACCCCTACGTCAGTTTAACGAAATAAAAATGTAATTTCGGGGCGCGTCCCCAAAGAAACGGGAAAAGAAAGAATTAGCCACAAAAACAATTACTTATGGTACGGGGCGATAGTACAATCGCGTTACCATAGTCTCTCGAAACAATGTCGAATCTACAAATAAGTAGTCGATATAAAATTGTTATAACGCATTCTGTGGTAGATATAATGATCAAAATAATGGAGAATAGATTTCGAATAATATATTATTAGGACTGTATTCATTATCTTTATGAGAAACAGAGAGAGAGAAAGAAATGTTCTTATTCCTATAACATTAATCGTATTCTTCACTTTTGCAAATAAATCTTGATGAAAGTTATTATGTGCAATGCAAATGTATTAAATAATTAATCTCATTAAAAAGTTTATTTCTATTACTAGCTATTGCTCATGGTTTTCACGCGTGATGTCGTGTTTCTTCTTTAAGTTGTATTTTCAAAAATTCTTTCTTAGCGAGTGTTTGTGTTATATAATTTAAGATTAATTCCACAAAAAGAGACCAACTTCAGTAATGACGAAACTAGTTATTTCGGTTTAAAACAAAACTACTGAACCGATTTTAATAAAGAAATCTATGAAACCAATTTGAAAGTATATTCTTTCAGAACAAAAAATAATTATCTATATCAGTTTAGAAATGATGGAGTAACGAAGCAACAAACATAAAACAACCGAATTGCAAACCTCCTCCTTTTTTGAAGTTGGTTGAAAATAAACCTATGTTCCAAATTTCAACTTTTTAGACTTAGTAGTTTTGGATATGTTTTGATAGTCAGGACAAATGATTTTATAAGTATAGATAACCTATTAGAATCTAGATAATATGGATAAGTACTAAATCATCATCATTTTCCTACCCTTATCCCAATCATTTGGGGTCGGCGTAATATGATTTTATCCATATTACAAAAAGATTTGGTTTTTAGTACTAAATGCAACTATATAATATAGATTTCTGCATAATTTTTGCAAACACTTCCATTCACTAAAGAACCTTTATGAATGCTTTCAAGTACTCAACCTTTTTAGTAAAAACAAGTAACAGAATACTCTTGAGCGTTCACTAAACCCATCAATAGAGTGTCCATTGTGAATGTAAACAGAAAAGTAATCCGTAAGATTTTGAGCTCAACAATTTATTGTATTGTAATAGTGTATACATAATAGCATTGTTTAAAACAAAATTACATTTCTTTAGAAGTGGATATTAAAAGCTCAGTTACAAAAACTTTTAAGCCCACTTTGTTGTTACTTAAACTCGTACTTTAGATAATTTTTTCATAATTTTTTAAGACTATTACTTTCCCTAGAGATTACAGCATGGAGTTCTTCAAAAAGGGCGTTTTAAGGTTTCTTAAAGGTCGGCAATGCGTGCATGACATCCCTGATATTACAGGCGTCCATAAGCTACGGTAACCGCGTGTACCATAAGACTAATAATATGCTTGTTTGCCAACATAATAGTATAAAAAAAGTTTTTTTTACATTCGACCACAAACAAGTCTATATTTAAGAATTTCAACATCCTCAATACTCGCTCGAAGCTATTTATATAAATAGTATGTCTATAACTAATTCAAATAAACTTAAAACTACAATCTCTATTACCACTTCTATTGAAAAGAGTGCTCAACAGTAGGATATTAATATTGTTGATAAATCTTTATTTGAGTTTTATTTCTAAATAACTAAACAATGATCTAAATAGCTCAACCAGTTATCACAAATTGATTACAGTTACAGATAAGAACATGGCCTAGTTTTAATCCCAATCAATCAATCTGTCATTTTAAGTCAGGAATAAAAGCTAGTAATAACAAAAAAATTCAAGTCAGAAACAATTTCTTCTATGTTACTTTTCTACAGCAACTCACTCAACTACATCGAAGATCGTAACGAACAAGTAGTAGGGGTGAAAAAATCGTTTATGCTCGGCAAACAGGGGACGGCAGTTATAAAATATTTGCTGTCGGGGAGCCGAGGCGATCGAGAACTCTTCACAGTTGTTTGGATGCGTCGATGATGTGTACAAATAAGCAAATACTTATATCACTTTTCATTGTCCAAACACTGCCGGTAGTAGGTACTCGTATTATATCAATAGATGTCATTGAAATATGCACTCAGTTACAACCATAGGATGATGTGGATCAACGAGGTTGATCAACATTGATCACCCTTTCTGAAGAATTAATTTTTATTATTCAAACACTATCACTATTACTGCTATTATATCAATAGACGTTATTTGTGCATACACTCATTTGTAATCTAAGGATGATGTAGATCAACACGGTTGAACAACATTGATCAACTTTTTGTAATGAACTAAGGATATAATATGCTCGTAACGGGATGGATTCAGATCCATCCATCCAACTCTGTTCACCATCAGACGGGTCATATATTTGTTTGTCACCAAATTAATATATAAAAGAAAGCTTGATCACTCTGATCTTATAACGTTTATCTTTAACAAACTTCATAAAGAAAGAAGTTCACAATTGGACTTCATTTTTTTTGTGTTCGTTAATTATACAGTATCATCTTTAACTTTGAACTGTTTTAATTACTCTTTATGTTTAATTAAAATAAAAGGAGTTTACTATGTGTTGATCCCATATTATTTTTTTAAGTAAGAACTTAAATTAAAGTAAGTTAAAGCCCTGACGTAAAATTTACAGAATGACACTGTTCTAAATTCAAATATTATCACATTAGGTTTACAAAACATCTCGTCATTCATCATTTTGTTTTATTCATTTTAAATGATTTTTCATATCAATATTTATTTCATTGCGATTGAAGTGAATGTGACTAAAATACAATTTTAGAAGATTATCCTAATTTTATAAATGTGGAATTTTGTTTGTCTCTTAGCGCCTTAAGGGCCTAACTAATTAATATGATATTTAGTATACAGGTCATCATCATATCAGCCTTTAACTGTCTACTGCTGAACATAAGCCTCCCCCCTGGGAGGTTTTGCCAGTAGTTGCATTAGTAGGCGGATTGGCAACCGCAATCAGGCTTTAGAGATATTTAAGAGGGACGCTGCTGCCCATCTCTCGCCCTCCCTTTACCCTCTTACGACACCCACGGGAAAGGAATAGGTGGCCTATTATATGCCGGGACCACACGGCAAACAGGTATACAGGGATTATAATGGAATTATGGAGGAAATAGGCTACTTTTGATCCTGCTCAGTGAACCTATCACAGTCACGCAGACGAAGTCGCGGGTAAAAACTAGTTATTTACAAGATTTTGTTTTTGTGTTGCCACCATATTTTACATTATTTATATACTATATATGTAGTACCTACATATGTACCTACAAACGTATGCAATGTTACACGTAGATATAATATAGTAAATAAAAAACAAAAATATAGTATAAGAACACACGTAGAAAATTGCCCTTCATAATAGAAGCCAAATGATGATATTGCATTTAAGGCATTTGACTCATATTAATTGTGTAGAGTTTTTCCGGCGTACTGACTTGCTGTTCCTGAGTGCAAGTCACGACGGGGGAAACTGCTTGTTTAAGGGTATATGCACCAATTACATGTTACTAATATTTTAATGATTTTATTTAATATTACTTTTCTAATAACGTACCAAGATAAATATATACCAAATTTTAAGTCAGACATCCAAAAACATAGTTGTGGAAACCAACATAAGGACAGACAGACAAAATTCTTTAAAATTATTTTTGGGCTTCTGTTTATCTTATTAAGATCCCTTATTTTGTACATTTTTTCTTGAATATTTCCTATATACAGACATTGTCTAATTACAATGTTATAATATTAATAAAATCTTTACGCATCAACAAATAAGATGTAAATACGAAATATTAACAATTTTTTTTGCAATTTATATAGGAAAAGTGGTCACGTGATTAATATGACGGAGATTTTGACTAAATAGTAATTTTTGGAGCAAAATATTATCTTATTATTGGCACTTGGTTTTAGTTACAATATTACTGTTTCAAGTTGGATATATAATATCTTTACGACTTACTCCGTATACCAATAGATAAAGA